TCTCTCCCCTCCTCTCCCCTCTCCCCCCCCACAGCACGGGTAACCGCGTAGACATCAACCTAAGTCAGAACAACCTCAAAGACACCAGAGACAAGAAGATCTCCGTGGAGAACGTGGACAGCGGGCCACCCACAAAGACTTCCTCCGTCACAATGCCGCTCGCCAAGAACGCCGAGGAAGACATGTCTGACACTGGTACGTCCTTATTCCTCCTACCTCTCCCCTCTCCCTTCTCCTCTCCCCTCTCCTCTCCTTCTCCCTCTCCTCCCTCTCGTCCCTCTCCTCCCTCTCCCCTTTCCTTCCTTCTCTGTCTCCCTCCTCCCCTCTCCCCCCTTCTCCTCTCCATTCCTTCCTCATCCCTCTGCCTTCTCCCCTCTCCCCTCTTCCACCTTTCTATTACACCACCTCGGCTACTCCCCCCCCCCCCACACACACACTCTCTCTGTCTGTCCATTGGTTTGTGTGTCTATATTTTTGTCTATTTCTATCTATCTATCTATCTATCTATCTATCTATCTGTCTATCTATCTATCTATCTATCTATTGCAGTTCTGTCCTTCTGGCATGGCAGATTTTTTGCCAGCCTTAAGAATCTAGGAGATATTGTGTCTGTCTGATGATATCATTCTTGAGAACAATGTGTGTATGGCTTTCTGACATTACAACGGAGTCCGCTTAAACCGAACAACACGATTAATCCGAAAACAGCGGTAAACCGGAATGTCTTTTGTATACAAGCAACCTCTCTTCACTGAACACTCACTGAACCTAAGAAAACCCGGCACCCCGGCAGATTTCGGTTTAAGGGGACTCTACTGTGTTGAAAGACATTTTGTTGTTGTTCTTGTTATCGTCCTTGCTTGTTCTTTATTTGAAGAGATGAAAACTTGTTATTCAATTGTTCCTTCTTTATTTCTCTTTGTAGTTTTGCTGCCAAAATAGTTGTTAACAATTTGTTGATAAGTTTTTCAATGACATTGTCGTTACACGTTGCTCATTATGAACTGTTGTTTTTTTATTTGTCGTGTTTTTTAAAGTTCTCCCTGTTGCATTTATTCTTGTTGATGTATGAATGCACTGTTTGTGGAATGTGTTACTACGTCTTGTGTCCTTTGAGATAATGACAGGTTTTTTTTATTTTTCAAAATGATTCCTTCTTTTTATGATACACCCCCAACTAAATGTTTATTTATCATCTTGGCGAGCCTACATTGGAATGGTTCTATTTGCAGCAGTCCATGGAAAGTGTTACAGTTAGAACCTTCCAATGATATACCGCGTGCACACTGCCAGTCGAATTCCTTTAGTTCTGTCAGGGGCAAGCAGATGTCCCTTCATAGAGGAAGCAAAAGCTGCCATTTTGGCATCATAATACGACCGAGTCGACTTGCGACTTTGTAAAAGTAACGTGTTTGATTTTGAAGGTCACTGTGGAGAAATGTTGTCGATTTGGGTCGAATTGTGTCAAAATGTCAGCTCTTGTCCCCTCCAACAAAGGACAATCTGACTTGTCCTGACTCACATCTGGGAATCTGATGTTCAGTGTGCAGTGTGTAGTAGGCCAGTTGTCCACCTTGTACTGATGAGGTTGTCCTTGGTTGATATTTCTGCAGATAATTTCTATGTTTTCCCTCCTGTGTCCTGCTAACTGTCATCCTGAACCGTTTTTCATTGACGTCATTTTTGCCTGTTTTTTGTCCGTTGTTGTTATTGTCGTTGTTTTGTTTGCTGTTTTTGTTGTTGTTTTTGTTTTTGTTTGTTGTTGTTGTTTTTGTTTGTTGTTGTTTGTTATTGTTTGTTATTGTTTGTTGTTGTTTGTTGTTTTTGTTGTTGTTGTTTTTGTTTGTTATTGTTTGTTGTTTTTGTTTGTTATTGTTTGTTGTTGTTGTTTGTTATTGTTTGTTGTTGTTGTTTGTTATTGTTTGTTGTTGTTGTTTGTTATTGTTTGTTGTTGTGAACTGTCGTGGTATGTTTGTTGTTGTTGTTGTTGTATGTTTTTCATTAACCCCTGACTGCTGTGACGTGTTGCAGCCAATCACAAACCAGGGGCGGTCCTAGGAGGTAAATCTGGCACGTCCGAGCGGCATCTTGCATTTACCCACACAGGGCAGGGGGCGTGGCTTGTACCTCTATATTTGCATATTTTTCACAATCCTTTCTGGCAACACTCCGGCCAGGCCAGTGCAGTGGCCAGTTGGTCAGCTCTGGGGCAGTGGTTAAGAGGAAAAACTTGGGTATCTTGAGTTATTGTATCATCTTAAAGCATATTCATTTGTCTTGTTTTTGAGGAGAAAAAATACTCATCTAACTTTAGCAAAAGTCGAAATATCTGTGGTTAAAGGAGGCGGGGTTGCCTTGAGTCAGAATTTAGTTAGTCTTTTTAAATGTTAAAAGATATTTTTTTAAAAAGAAAAACACGTATATACACTGAAGATATGTAAACGCATTGATACAGAAGATATATGAAAGCATAGATACATAATAATATACTATAGACTTTATAGATACATATATTATAGACATTATGTTTTCACACATCCTATAGACAAACCAATGCATGAAGTAACGTTCTAAAAACACACTGTAACTCTCTGATGAGCGACATGCCGTCAAGTGGCAGACGTAATGAACAAATCGTTCTTCTGGCAGTGGCTGTTGACAATTGATTCAGGAAGTGACGTATACATTATGTGTGCGATCAGCAGAAGACCAAAGGTCATGAACTACTTTATCTTTATCTACTCGTGCAGAAATAGTTGACAAATACAAACAGTTGAGAAGGGGAGGACGGGGCAGGAGGGGATTTAGAATGCATGACTTGGGGCACTTTAACCAGTGAGTAAATGTGAGATGTGCTGACAAAATGAGTCAAGTCTCGAAATCTAGCCCTATGGACACAAAAATATACGTCAAATTTATAGGTGTCTTTTTTTGGTACGATTTCTAATACGAAACGATTAAAAACATTGTGTTTTAGTGGAAGATATGCGCATTCAGTTTAATATCCACACAGTTGATGTCTATTTTCTGTGGACATCTCCATTTGAGGATTGCGAGAAGTACCTCATTTTGTCAGCACACCTCACAAATGTTTTCTAAAACGAGAAAACAAGTCGTTGGGAGAAAGACAGCTCAACAGATAGTTCTAGAAAAGGTTTTGGGTATGGTGGAGGGGAGAGGGTGAGTAGAGTTTTGTAGTCTGTGATTAGCGCAAGGCCCAAGCGTCGGAGTGTTGCAGACAGGGATGGAGTTGACTTCTCTAGCACTTTTCTTGTTTCTGTACCTTATGATTTGGTGTCGGTACTTTGGTTTTTTCTTTCCGTTTGGTGGGGTCTCGGGTCTCGGGTCTCGGGTCTCGGACAACATTTCTTTTGTGGTGATGGTGGGAGTGTGTACTGTCATTATACCTCCTTCTTCTTCTCTCCCCTGCTTCCTTCTCCATTTTTATACACCTCTCATCTCTTTCTCTCCCTTGCTCCCTG